CTATTAGGACTAGTTGATAATGTATTTAAGTGTTAATGATATATAAGTTTAGTAATTGCAAGATCAACATCATTGAATAAAAATTGGAATGGACAAGTAAGTTGGCTTGTATAAAAATATAATATATTTGGATTAAAATTTATAATCATTTTAATAATTGTATATAAATTGACTGCCTTTAGAGGAAATGATCATGCGACACCTCACTAGCATATTATTATGAATTTACATGAATGTGATTTCCCGTGTATTATAAAGGTTGGTTTTTATAAAAACAACTAACTTTATAATACCAGTCTTGATAAAAAAAAATTAATTGCTACATTAATTAAGCAATGAATGTGCAAGACCCACACATTTTACCTATATATTAGGGAGATGATCCTCATACTGTATGATATCTTTATGTTAATTGTCTATTCTATAAACAAAGCCTCTTTAACAGACAGATAGATGGTTAACCAAGATGGTTTATGTTTTCATTTATTCAGATGTGTGCCTTCACCCACTAGTTTTAGAGGTGATAATATCATGTTAATGTGGTTGTCTAATAATTTTAAAGACCATTTACATGATGCAATGGAGGTGTAATTGATTATATATACTCAAGAGTATATAATGCAGTTTAAGAGTATCATAATCACAAGTTTAATCGATAATACAATGCTAATATACTTTCTAACATTATTTGAGGACTTTTAAGCCATTTATAACTATAACTTGGGGCCATCCATGCATGTATATCTATATTACCAATTATATAAAGTATGTATAAAAAAAATGATGAATAGATGGTCCTTTATAAAGCGACATATAACAATTAATTTAAAAAGTTATATGAAATGGTACATGAGCTTAACATGATAATTTATTATAACATACAAGTGAATTTTCTAAGGCATCCACATAATTTGATGCATTACAAACTCTGTTTTCTAAGATAGAATCAATTGATATGCGTTATATTTTTATAATATTTATTAAATATCTTGTTCATATATATATATATATGATGATGATGACAACAACGACAATTGTTTTTGTATATATACTAAATGCATTATTTAATAAGAAGGCTTATAGTGCTACCGTTGTACTCTGTAAAGGAGTTAATGAGATGACATATGTCATAACTAATACTACACTTTCTTTATATCGTGGCGGACTTCAAAAAAAAAGTTTGGGAGGATAAGCATTTTAGAATGACATTAATAAGGGATAAGAGCATTTTTCATTAAAGAGAACTTGTAGTTGGAAAGGTAGGTCTATCTATGAGCTGAAACAATTTTGGTGTAGGATTATCTATGAGCAATCTAGGCCTGTCCAAAAGTTGAGGTGATTTCTAGATATAGTTAAATAATATACGTGAGTGAATGTTATGAGAATTCATTTTATTTAATTATAAATTTAGTTGAAATTAAATTACATTTAAAGTTCTATGAATTATAATTGAATTAAATTGTGAATTGTTTAGTTGATTATTTTTTATGGTAGAAAGATGAGAGGCTGGGAAAATTGTCTATGTGAAATGTGTTTTGAATTAAGTCACAAGCAATTTCATAAATTGTGTTATTGCTATAATTAAATTTTTAATCATGTTATTTCTTGAATATTTTATTTTTATTATACTACTTTGAAAAAAAAACTTTTTTTTGGTAATAGATTAATTATAAAAAAAATCTTTTTTAGTAGTAGATTAATTATAGTGGCTCAGAAAAACTCAAAAATATTTTCCAACTATTTGAACCAAACTAGAATGGCTAGACACTCTAGCCATTTGGAACAACCTAAATGATTGGAGTTTCTCTCTTTTTCTTAGCCAAACACCTGACATTCATTTCGAGTTTATCCAATCCTACTTATATATACCTTTATGTATTTTTCTAGTTTCTAGGACTTCAAGGATATATAATTCTATATGTAGGAATATAGGTGCACATAAACTTTTTATGCACAGAATATTTCTCTTTATAAAGAAAGCATCACTTTTCTACACTAATAGTTATTACTTCGCCAACTTTATTTACAATATCTTAACCAACACCACATCCAATAACACCACCAACATCTTTACAAATAACATAACTTCATTCTCCACATATACCAAGTTATTTGTAACACTAGTCTCAACACTCTATAAGATAAACATATATGATTATGATCTATAAATACCTTAGTCACTATATAAGTCTAAGACATGTAATTAAAGGGACTTTCCATAACCAAGATCATACAAAAAGTAGTTGACATGACTTCACACATTGATCTTTAAAAGCCACACATAATTTCATATATAAGTATCAATCATTTAATAATTTTTATAAAAAAAGAACCACTAAATAATTCATATAGTCACCAACAATCACTCAATAATTCTTAACACCACAAACAATCACTTAATGATTTTTAGAGTCATAAACAACCATTCACAAGTTATACAAGTTCATAGATAAAAATATAAAAAGTACAAACACACACTCCCTACAATATCATTTCATTTTTTTATATTTTACATTAGTCTCTCCTCTTACATTTATTATCTTAAGCATTAAAGATCCACTATTCTAATAAAGAACTTGGTTTTTTAGGTGAACACTGGACCAAGGTTAGGACTAATCAACAACTTGGAGATGTATCTATGGAAAACCCAATTATATTTTGAAGTTTTTTCATGATTTCATCAAATTAGTTTATTGAAAACACAAGAAATAAATTAGTTTTGTTTTTAAAAATGTCCAAAGAAATAAAGTAGAAATTACCTTTTGGTTATTGTTTTATAAATGGTTTGACAATATTATGAATAACATATCAGTTATTTTGTTGCACTTGTTTATTCTTTTATATTGTTGTTTTATCACATGTGTAAAAAAAGAGATAAATTTAGGTTCTTCTTCAAGACTTATTAAATAGAATCTCAAATGTTTATAAGTTTAACAAAATGATATTTTCGGATAGAAACCCACTCACATTCCATAAAGAATGAACCATTAATTAGGTATGACACCTTTAAATCAACAAGACAATACCTTGAAGATAACTGATACATCTAAATCCAATTGGTACATCTGAATGCACTATCTCATGGTCAAATTTAATTTATTCATTATGAACTATATAGATAAAATGCATATATATGAAATAAAAGAATGCTCCTTTGACATATATCTTTAAATAAATGGTCATGTTATCTTCATTAACAATATATTACCTATAAAATCCAAAGATAAGATAATTTTTACAATGGCATGTTATCACTTTGAACCTTTATCTCCAAGTAGTCTAAAATTATAGGTGATAAACATAGCAATCATCCTACCCTTACACACACACACACACACACACATACCCATCCTCCCTTACACACACACACACATACTTGTATAGATTTAAGACTATATAAACAACTTTAGACCACGAGGTAGGAATGATCTTCCATTTATAATCATCTTGTTAATATAAAACATTTTTTTCTTTTAATTTTTTTTTATTTGGTAACACACACAATACAACATTTTAAGGCTTCCCTCCTTCTTAATCAATGCAAACCTGAGTGCTAAAGAGTCTTTTAAATTCATATAGGGAATTTATTTTGCAAGTATTTCATTTATGCAAACTTAACCTTTTATTCTTTTCAACTCATTACATCCTTGATAAGATTATTTGAAAACATATAATTTTTATGAGGTTTTCTACAACCCCTTAAAAAATTAGTGTTATATTCCTGTATGGGGTGAAAATGTATACATATTAGTTTTATATGAATATTTTCTTTATATTCCGATGCCTTTATATAAATTGTCATTAGTGTAACAATATTATTCTAGTAATTACTAATATTTTGATTTTCAAAGTTGAGTTTATTGACATAGAAATAACAAATGAGAAAGATGAGAAAACTTCAAAACTAAAAAGAACTTCAAATGGCCATAAAAAGTTGATTTTAAACATAGAAATGGTTTTAACCGTGAAGATAAATTTTGGAAATTTTATGTTGCTTATACTTATTAACAAGGATTTGGTATTGCCAATTTTTTTTTATTTTAAAAAATAGAGCTTAGGAGGATACAAATTCTATAATTGCATATAATGTTACATTCAACTAATATATAGTTAAGACTCGAGGAGGCATGCTTTTTGCTATTTTTATTGAGGCTAACAACCATTTGCTATTTTTATTGGGGCTAACAACCATAAAGAACCCATATTATTTAGGGATAGTTTCTTTGTTGTAAATGAAGATGTCGATTATTACATTTTAACCTGTTTAAAAGTTTCTTTGAGAGTGTAGTTATGATTTTTTTAAAGTACTTTTTACTTAAAATTATATTAAAATAATAGTTAAGACTCGAGGAGGCATGCTTTTTGCTATTTTTATTGAGGCTAACAACCATTTGCTATTTTTATTGGGGCTAACAACCATAAAGAACCCATATTATTTAGGGATAGTTTGTTTGTTGTAAATGAAGATGTTGATTGTTACATTTTAGCCTGTTTAAAAGTTTCTTTGAGGGTGTAGTTGTGATTTTTTTAAATTACTTTTCACTTAAAATTATATTAAAATTATATTTTTTATTTTTAAAATTAATATATTAAAATGGTCTTAAAATATCAGCATATATTAATTTAAAGTAAATACAAATTAAATATTTTTTTAAAATATTTTTAAAACACAAAAATAAATAAAAACTAAATCATAATTCAAATGGATGCCATACTCTGCTCAAATACTTTGAAAACTAGAAGCTCTTATTTGTCCATAGCCGTGTACTAAATTGTTATGCGTGGTGGCATTAGTCTAATCTTGGCATCACGTACAGTATATTCTTTGCATTACAATAAAATGTACAGGTTCTTGTCTAGCATTACAATAAAATGTACAGGTTCTTGTCACCATCTAGTATTTTATACAGTATCTGTGCTGTATACCACGACTGAATGTATACTTTTTTCATTAAGAAAATGCATAAAAAAGCTGACGACGGTGATGATGTGTTCTCCACCTTGTTTCACAAACAAAATCCACCTTACTCACTCTCTCTTACGCGGTCCCTCTCGCTATATGCTCACTGTCCCCAATCTCTCAGCTCCTGCCCCGCCTTAGGGTTTCTTCTCCTTCCACTTCCCTGTCAAACAAACCTTAACCTCTAAGAAAACCTCCCTTAATCCTTACACTTTTAGCCTCTGTTGATTATTTTGCTTCGTGTCTCCTGAAATAGAAGTAAAAATCAGCGCTTGGCTACCAGCTAAAACCAAGCAATTCATGGCCAAAACCAAACCTGGCAAAAAAGACCTTGATTCTTACACTATCAAAGGCACCAACAAAGTTGTTAGACGTAAGCATGTACCTTGTTTAACACCCATAATTTCTAGCAACAAGCTTCTTCTTGTTGCTATACAATTAAAAATCCATCAATTTCTTGCTTAAAGTTTCCCCTTTTAGACCCTGATTGCCAAAATGTCTCCCTTTTTCCTTTCAATTCTTGAATACCCTATCGTTTTTAACTATCTTCATTCATTCTTTGCTTTTGTTTTTTGGCTTCTGAATTTGGGTGGATTCATGCTTGTTATTGCAGCTGGTGATTGTGTGTTGATGCGCCCATCGGATACAGATAAGCTTCCATACGTGGCACGTATAGAGAAAATCGAGGCAGATCATCGAAACAACGTTAAAGTTCGTGTACGGTGGTACTACCGGCCGGAGGAATCCATTGGGGGACGCCGTCAATTCCACGGGGCAAAAGAGTTATTCCTGTCAGACCACTATGATGTGCAAAGTGCACATACAATCGAAGGCAAGTGCACAGTGCACTCCTTCAAGAACTACACTAAGCTTGAAAATGTTGGAGCTGAGGATTACTTTTGTAGGTTTGAATACAAGGCTTCCACTGGTGGTTTTACTCCCGATCGTGTAGCCGTGTGAGTTCCCTTTCTTTGATAAAATTTTGAGTTGATTTTTCTGGGTTTTGAGTGCTGAAATGAATGGCCTTTTGAATTTATGTCTTTGAAGGTACTGTAAGTGTGAAATGCCATACAATCCGGATGATCTCATGGTGCAATGCGAGGGATGCAAAGATTGGTAATTTCTTGATAATGCACTCATTTCTGTAACTAGGAATCATGCATTGTAACTGCAAGTTTAGTTTGTTTATCTCATCTGATCTCTGAAATTATTGGAGCTACATCAGTCAGAATCAATGTAGCATGGCGTTGTTCTTCATTTGAACTCATTGCGTAGCTTAATGATCAGAACTTATGATAGCTTTTTCCATTTGTTTCATTCCTCTAGTATTATCTAATTTTACTGGAACTTCAACAAAAACTGTGATTGGTGAGGGACATAGGAATTCATTCTAGAGTGTAATAGCCAGTTGTCTTTTGCTTTTAAGTTTATGTGGGCTTCTTTCAACTCTGTTTTATGTTGGGCAAACATTTTAACTTCATGAGAGCTTAATAGGGACCAGTAAAGCATATCAAGCAGGCATGAGAAGTAGGTTCTGTGAGATTTATCTAGTTTCTTCAAGTTGTAAGAGGTCATTTTCTTCTTAATATATCCAGTGATGGCTTCTTTTGGATTTAAGCTAATACCTTGTATCTTGTATAGAAAGTTTACTTCCTATGCAATAATGCTTTTATGGAACTAAAGATACTTTATTTAACACACTGCAGGCTTTATTTAGCCATTCTTAGGCCATAGCTTATTTGTTCTGCACCAACTTCAGCTGCCTGTAACACGTGGGGATAACCATTGAGCTTTCATGTTAGTAGGGTTTTGTTAATCCTCCCTTTTCATTTTCCGCGCATCACCATGATCCTTGCATAGTTTATTATCTTGTTATTGTTTGTAATTTGTTTCGGCAAGTCTTCTCCCAATTTGCCCTAAATTGATTAATAGTTGGTAGCATTAAACCCGTGTGTACTTCTCATGCATGCTTACTACTTATATGGGGCTCTTTGTGTCTGATCCTCATAGTCATATATGTTGAAAAATCTGGGCAGAGGTGAATATCTTAAACATATTTTGATTGAAATACTGTTCTGAAAACACAGATATCTGTTAGTGCTGGACTTTTGTGTGGTTCACATGCTGAGAATGAGCTCTTAGGACATTAAATTAGTTAATCTGTCAAGTGGATATCTAATTTATCAGTCTTGTTTTCCTTCAACCTTGAATTTGCTTGGTTTTTGAGTTCTTAATGGTTGAATATGGTAGTTTAAGCATTAAGTATTAACAATTGAAGAAGTGAAAGATGATTAAAGTATGAAAGTATCATTTTAAAAGAATTATTAAGTAATAGTGGAAAGGTCAATACATTTCCTAATTTTGAGGGTGAAAGATAATATTCCAGTTTACTGCAGTTATTATTCCATTGGTTGTTGAAATTACTCAGTGACTAATTTGCATCAAATTTTGCTATAAATTTCATTCTTTCATTTAAGGACCATGTTAGAAATTTAAAGCTAAGATGGGTGAAGGAATTTGAAATTGGCATCAGTTACCGTTGTCTTTTTGTATCACAGATGGTACAAATCAAGATTGTAAGGCTCCTTACAGATAAGGAAAAGGGGGGGTAGGGTGGGGAAGAAAGAAGCCAAAGAACTTATGTGTTGTACTCTTGTACTATCAACATCAAATGAAGTATGGGGTTTAGCTGTCTAATGAGAATAGTGAATGGTATTTAACAATTCCTTTTCAAATAGGCAGTAATGAAAGGATGTAGCAGGCAATGTTGAGATGCAATTAGGAAACTGATATTATATAGGAGGTGATTTAAAAATTCGCAAATTGTAGAGTTTGCATTGTAAACATGCTATAATGGGGTTTGAGAGATAGTTTGGACAAGAAAATCCTCATTAGGCAACAATGAAATGACATTTACTAATGCTATCAATGAAAATCATGAACATCACATTTTGTAGCATCATCAAAAGATGATTGTTGAATAGATTGATTGGATTTTCTTTTTTTGTATTATTTCTCAATTTTGTGTTGGTCAAATCTGGTTGATCTTGTAGATAGCATATGATACAATGAAAAGCATCATTTCTTTGGAAATAAGAACTTTGCAATTTTGTAGATGCAAGTTTTGCACTTGTAGAGATATTCAATTCCCTTCTTTGTTGTGTATTTGGAAATGACTGAAAAACTGGATTTGATGGTTGAGAACTTATCTAATTGTAAAAAATGGTATAGATTTGAAGGCTGTTATGGAGAGAAAATGAACACCTTGTATTTGTTGTTTGACCAGAAGTGAAGAACTCATGCAAAATCAAACCATATACAGAATTAATCAATTTAAATAAATAATATCTCTTAGAATTCCATCTCATTAAGCATTCTGCATGTCTGCTACGTCTAGTGTTAGCCAGATATCTTTCAAAGAGGTTAGAGATGATTCTTCTCTCTTAAATGCTCTTTTCTTGAAATTTCCATGGCTCATTGTGTGAAGTCCCAAAAGCTTACCCATCCAGTGCAATAATTGATTTACAGTTTAGGGTGTTGTTATCCAGAAAAAAGAATGATTCCATGCTAAGATCATCTCTTCTTTTGAAGATCATTAATAATTGAACTTCTTCCCTAAATAGCATGGGGAAATAAGAACTTTGGGAGGAGATATGAACTTCTACAGTGTTAAACAATTTAAATTAGGCATTGTATATGACACACAACAGGATTTGATACTGAAGCTTCCATTTTAGCTGATCTGTATCTAGCTTCATTTTTATTTAGTTCTTTGGTCTTAACGGTATCAACCAGCTTTGTTTTGGTTGTAGGGAGGTTCAATATGCTAATCCTGTGCTATCATATGATGAACACCACTTTCAATTAATGCTATTATCAATGATGTCTAAGTAGGAGCTTATCAAGATAATTTTTATGTGCAGTCATCTCTAAAAGTTCATGAGTTGATTGGTTTGTGAGAAGAGAGAACTATCTATGTTATGTGTGTTTTCTTCTAAATTCAAGGGTTATTGCTTCCTGATCATTTTTAACTAATGTGCTGCAGGTTTCATCCTTCTTGTATGGGTATGACAATTGAAGAAGCCAAAAAATCAGATCACTTTCTGTGCTCTGACTGCTCATCTGATGATGATGCAAAAAGATCTTTGAATGTATTCCCAGTATCACCATCACTTGAGGTTAAGGTAAGAATGTACTCCAGTTGTTTCAACATCATTAAGGAAACTAAAATCAGTTTAGCTGTGCAGCAACATCTTTTACTGCAATTTATGTGTATCATTATGAATACTACCACTGCTAGGTTTCTTAAGCTGGGGCTATTTAGATATTGACTAATTACCATTATATCTTGAAGATGTAGGATCACCCTTGCCTAATTGGCTTGTCGACATGGTATGAGCTTTCAGAGTCTTTGCCCCATTTCTCTCATATAAGCTGATGCAAATTACATAACTGTCCCTTCAAGGCTACTTTTGAGCTAATTCTTACAAATATGGAAGTCTGTGCCACACATTTTCATATGTTTTCTTGATAGTGCAATGTTTATTCTATAACATATCACAATTCTCTACCCTGGGTTTAATTAATTGTGCATGAGTTTTTGTGCAATTTTTCTGCCTTCTATTATGTGGGCATAGCTAGTAGTAGTATTTAATGCATGTGCAGTTATTTCTCATATGTTTGGGTATAATAGAAAATAACTATGAGGCACAATAGTTTGGAGTCAAAATGTTTGGTGCGAGCCCTTCTACAAAAAGCAAAAATCAGGCAGTGTTGCCATAGAAAAAACTACAAACCCATGGTTTTATTGTTTGGTCTATCATGGGATGGTAGTCACTGTCCATTTGATTGACATGCCTAAAGCTCTTTAAAATTTGATCTTATAAGCTGCCCTTAATGATTTATAAGTACTCATAGACATGCCTGAAGTTCTTCCTCAAATGTTGTCTTGGCCTTAGGCTGCAGTTTACCTTTATTAAAAAGTTGGAAAAAAGATATGGAGAGAGAGAGAGAGAGAGAGAGAGACTGTAATGGGTTGAAAATGGATTATGTTGAGTTTATGTTAAGTTGGAACTGCCTGCTTGACCATTATTGGTTTCCATTGATGGGGTATGGAATGTTGTATCTTAACCTGGAGGTCTCTCAACCAAACCGATTGTAGTACCATGAGAAAAATGATCTTAATTTCAAGTGTAAATCATTGAATTGTTGTGATTCTATCAGTAACAACCTACAGAAAACTAAAATTTATCTCATAATCAGGCAGCGTTAATTTTCCTAGGATTCTCTTTCTAGTTTTAACAAGGATTCCAGCTGATGCTGCTTGCTGCATAAGCGGGCTGAGTAGACAGAAGCTTTATGAATTTTATGTTTCATTATCTCCAAGGAAAAGGTAGTCAACTAAAATAATACATGCCTGATTAATGTTGATAAGAGAATGCTAGTTTAGAGGGAGAGTTGCTGGTGTAACTTGTATTTTTTTAGCTGCAATAGAATCAAATCTATTGGGATATTTTGAAGTGCTACCTAAAAAGTGGATTATGGATGTTAATAATTAAGGTTATATGAGTTCCTCTGCATTTTTGTGGAATTCTAATTCATGAAAAGAAAGTGTTTTGAAGGAAAAATGATATTCCCTTGTTAAAAATAGTTACATGGGATGGGTTATTTAAGTGATGAAACCATGGCAGATCACATTAAAGCTGTCATAACCAATAGATGTGTTAAGGCTGTAAGATGTGATTTCTTAAAGTTCAGGTGAGAAGGAAACGAGACATCTTGATTAAAAGCTATGTGGTTTTACTGAATATCTTTGGTCGTTAGCAATTTGTTTCACTGGTTGTCTTTGCTCGTTCTTTCACTCATACCCATGCAAATTGGAATCTTTATTATTTTCTACCCTTTCTGATGTAGTTGTCTTTGATTTTTATGCTAGGTGGAGACAAAACGCAGGAAGAGATGACTGAAGTTGCGGTGCATAACAAAGGGCTAGTAAATGTTCTTGCACGAGCTCCACCATCACTGTCGTCCCTGTTGGGTTATGTTATGGAAATGTACAACAGTGCAGAGAAGATATCGTGCTTGCACAAACAAGAGGCATTTTATTAATTATCATGTTCCAGTGTTTGTATGTGTGAATGGACTTGGGAGATGGTTTCGTGATCATTGATGTCCTTGCGAATCTCTGCCAAAAAAAAGAGCAGCCCCATAAGTACCTACCGCGACAGTGAAATGAAAATTTAGAGAACTTTTAGATTTTCAAGTGATATTCTGCAACTGTCATGATAGCAATGCTCTTTGTTCTTTCTTTTTTTTTCCTTTTTTTTTTCTTTTTTAATAAGAAGGGGATATAAAAGTAGATAAGATCGGAGCTGAGCAAGAGCTTTGATGGAATCTCCTGGTTGAAGGAAATCACAAGAGGGTCTGCTGTTCTTTTTATAGGTTCTGTAGTAGATTCCTTTGTCAAATTTGGAATGATTTGTTTCATATAGTTTTGGACTTTATCTTTCCTGATCTGAAAACATTGAGGTGAAATACCAATAGCCTTCAACAAGCAAGAAAAGAGGGGAGATATTATATATCATCAGCTGGAAAATTTTCATAAACTGTTTATTGAGAAAGCTTGCATCTCGTAAGTTGGATTCACCAAAGAAAAGCATGAAGCTGTCACCAGAACTTTCTAGATTGGGATGCGTAGCAGTAACAGTTTTAACTAAGATAACTTTAACAAAAACAAACCGGGAAATAATTTGAGTTAATTTAGATTTACTCATTATATTTATGATATAAATCATATAATTTAATAAAAAATAATTTTAACAGATATATTTTTTTAAAAAAATAATTCAAGTCAATTCAGATATTAAATTAAGGTAATTTTATAAAAATAAATTATAAAATTCAATTGATGAAATAAAAAAAACTTAATTAAAAATATAAAAAATAATGTGAATCAATATAAATTAACATGTTAAACTCGTAACCTAAATTATTAAATCAGGATAATTTTATAAAAAAATAATCAAAAAACAATCTAAGTTAGTAAAAGATAATTTATCAAACTCATGATTTAGGTCATATAAACTTAGATAACTTTATAAAAAAATAAATTATAAATTACAATTCTCAATAAATTTAATATTAAAGAATGAAGTTGAAAAAAATCCAATTAAATAAAATATAAAAAAAAATTGATCGGAGTCAACCTAGGTCAACCCACTAACTTATAAATTAGGTCATGAAACTGAGATAATATCATAAAAATAAATCAAAATAAAATGTAAAACCCAATTCTTGATCAATAAAAAGTTGAAGGATGAAATTAAAAAAAATCAATAAATAAAAGAAAAAAAAAACTAGTGAACTAGATTAATTTGCTAAACATGTGACTCAAATAATGAAGATGAGATAATCAAATTAAAATAAATTATAAAGTTTAATTCACAACAAACCAAATATTAAAAAATAAAATTAAAAAAAAGAGCTATTCATAATGAATATTGCTATATAAGGTGGTGCACAATAAAAATATCACATTTTTAGTGTTGTGTATCTAGATAATTAAGCATACTACGCCATGACAATACCAAGACAAATTTTACATGTAAAAATATAATGTCTAAATTAAGAAAAATTATTTACAATGTCATTAAATTCAATTTAACAGTCCAACTTAAAACCTTCTAATCATACTTTTTGCATAATTCGAGTTTCAAATTAAAGAGTTGTCTAGTTGTGACCCGATTGACTTGAAGAATTAAAAAAAAGTCAAACGATCGGTAATAACATAGTTTTGATCTATTTTTTTTAATAATATCTTTTTAAAAAAAATATCAAGATGTTGATATATTAGATCAACCAAAATTAATCTGCTAAACTCGTGATACAGGTCATGAATTTTATTGAGTTTAATAACTTTTTTTTTTAAATTATTTTTATTTAATTATACAATAAAAAATATATGTTTATAAAACCAAGTACCAACTCAATATCCTAACTTTTTTCTCAGATTGCAGCAACCCATAAAAATTATTTTAAAATAAATTTGATATTTAATTTTCTATAATTATGTTTTTTCTAGAATAATTTTTTTTAATAATATAATAAAAAATAGATATTTAAAAAATCAAGTATCAATTCAATATTACTATATTATTCTAAGATTATACTAATCCATTAAAATTAAATTAAAATAAATTATAAAATTCAAACTTACTTTTTATTTAACAATATAATATATCATTTTTTCAACGGAGAGGAAACTGCAAACACCGTCATCGGAATCTTTGATATCTCGCTGTCACACCATTAATTTTGTTGACTCTTCTCTGCTATAAAATTCTTCCTGAAAATCCAGACAAACCACACATGGAGAACCAGACAGAAACTTAGGAGGCAACTCTTCGATCGGTGGCTTCTCTCCTTCTATTTTCTACGCTCACAATGTCTAATATGGTTGACCAGCTCAACCTTTTCAATTAAAGTTTTTGACCGGATCAAACACGATTATTTTTTAAAATATATTTTATTTTAAAATATATTAAATTAATATTTAAAAAAATTATTTTTCATATCAATATATAAAAATATAAAAGTTTATTTAAAAAAAATTGTAATTCCAAAACGAATTTGATAGACACGACGATGAGTCAACTGGGCAACCGCAGAACAAGTTAGGTTTACCAGCGTGTTGATTTGAAAGGCACTTGATGAGAGTTGACTCGACTAAGCTGACTGATGAGAGTTGACTCGATTTTAAGCTGACTTCATTTTGTTTGGTATGTTTAGAAATTAAGGTGGAATGAACCAAGTTTCGTAGATAAGCGGTGAAGGTTTTTGTTGGTATAGTTGTAATTAGCTGTTCGTGCGATTTTTTTGAATTAAATCAAATTTCATAAATAAATAAACAGAGGTTCACCGTTTCGGTTTCTTTATAATGGATTAAGCTGGTCGAAATTAACTCCTAATTATTGGGAGTTTGAATGAGAAAAATCAGCTAGTTGGAAACCTATTGAATATCCTGTTCCCAGAAGTACGTAGGGCCTCTGTGTGTGTGGCTGCCTGCTATCCTTGGAATCGTAGAAGTGGAAATCTTAGCTCGCCGTGCGCAGGAGAGTTTTGCATTAAAAGCACGCCTCAAGGAGTCCCGCCGCTTTGGTCCTTACTTCTTTAGCCATGAGGGGCGTGAAGTGAATGAAGCTAAATGGCCTCCTCCTCTACGAAACTCGTATTCACAGCTCTAGTTCATGCTCGTCTACCTAACAGGGGTCGCCCACTATTACCATAGATACAAATATATCTACTTGGGAATTTCAATCTAGCTTATATTCATCACTATAGTGAATTGGGTTCTAAGCTCTCTCTTTCTCGTCAATGAAATCCTAACTTAGACAAAGAAGTGCGATTTATTAGTATAAAAAAACTATTTTAATCTAATAGTTTAAATTATTAAGTGAGGTTCTAAGATATAATTTATATTGCTCGTCTACCTAACAGGGGTCGCCCACTATTACCATAGATACAAATATATCTACTTGGGAATTTCAATCTAGCTTATATTCATCACTATAGTGAATTGGGTTCTAAGCTCTCTCTTTCTCGTCAATGAAATCCTAACTTAGACAAAGAAGTGCGATTTATTAGTATAAAAAAACTATTTTAATCTAATAGTTTAAATTATTAAGTGAGGTTCTAAGATATAATTTATATTATTTTTTAATATATTTCCTTAAATAAATACTTTTTAAATTTGAAACTTATACAGACTCAAATTATCTCATGTTTAATTTTAATTAAATAAATAAGGATTGTAAAATTTAAATTCATGACTGCTTAGTTATTAAAATTCTGATATTATTTTAAAAAATTATCTTAATTCAATAATTTAAACGTTAAACAAGATTTTAAAATATAATTTATATTATTTTCTCGCCCCCTTTCAGCCGGGGAAAAAACGAAACTCGTATTCACAGCTCTAGTTCATGCTCGTCTACCTAACAGGGGTCGCCCACTATTACCATAGATACAAATATATCTACTTGGGAATTTCAATCTAGCTTATATTCATCACTATAGTGAATTGGGTTCTAAGCTCTCTCTTTCTCGTCAATGAAATCCTAACTTAGACAAAGAAGTGCGATTTGTTAGTGTAAAAAAACTATTTTAATCTAATAATTTAAACTGTTAATAAGGTTGTAAAATATAATTTATATTATTTTTTAATATATTTTTTTAAATAAATACTTTTTAAATTTAAAACTTATATAGGCTCAAATTATCTTATGTTTAATTTTAATTAAATAAATAGGAATTGTAAAATTCAAATTCATGACTGTTTAGTTATCAAAACTCTGATATCATTTTAAAAAATTATCCTAATTCAATAATTTAAATTATTAAATAAGATTTCAAAATATAATTTATATTATTTTATAATAATTAAATTATTTATATTATTTTTTAACGGTTAAATAAATTCCCACCTTTCTCTGTCTCTGTGAAGCTTGGATGGACCGGAGCTGGAAGACCAGGGAGGGGAGAAAGCTTGGGACCATCAACGAAGGAAATGAACAGGCAAGGGACAGAAATGCTGGTTTCATAATTCATTCTCTGGGATCAGAGGGGATCGAAGGGCATGCATCTTCAGCGTCACAACACTTTATTTTACAGGTCGCGAATCGTGCATGCTCTTGCCCTCGGAAATTAATGGGACACTTAACGGCTAATGCGCCTCTGCTCTAGCCTTTAAACACCAACCACGCCTTTTAGCTCCGGAGAAGAAGACGGAGGATAGATTCTCAACGCGTAAACCCTTTATTCAGGGATCTCCTTCCAGCATGCTTGGAAGACGTCCATGGGGGAGACGCAACCCCCTTGCGTAGCTTATTCGCTCCTTAAACAACAAGCCGTTAAGTGTTATCTATATATATATATTTCAGTGCAATGATTGTTGATTAATGTAGTACGAGATAATCATGGTAGATTTTTATCAAAAAGAAAGAAAAAAAAAGACCTTGAATTATTTATAAGTTTATGCTATTATATTCTACTTATATAAGTAAAGAGACTACATATATTGAATATTACAACTTTATCTTCATATTAAAAACTCTAATAAAAAAGGATTTTTATAAAAATTATCTTTAATTTTATAAATAATAAAATCAAAATAAAAAATAGTATCCAACTGTGGAAGGTTTGATACAATTTTTTCCTTTGTAATAATTGAAAATACATTAAACTCATGATAATAAAATCAAACTAGTAAATTACAAATTAATTTTTTTTTTATATTTTAAAAGTATTTTTAAAACATAAAAATAAATTGATTTCTGATTATTAGTTTAACAAAAATATTTTTTTAAAATAATTTTTTATTACTTAAAATTAAATTTTTATTTATATTTTTAGATCGTTTTGATGTGTTGGATCATTTTGATGTGTTCATATTAAAAATAAATTTTTTAAAAATATTATTTTAATATATTTTTAAATATAAAATATT